CTGATTAAACTGAAAAATAATAATAGCAATAAATAAAGTTAAAAAAAGATAACTTGGTCTCTTGGGTTTGAAGTGGTCACTGTCTGGTAAACGTGCACTTCAGGGTTGAACCGTCTGCTCAGACTTCCCAGCTGGGATTCTGCTCCATCCACAGTGCACCTCTTCCTGAGCTCGGCCTGCCGTGCCCCGGTCATCTTGGCAGAGGGTGAGGGTGAGTGTCACCTGGCCCAGCTGCCACCTTCCAGGACTCTGTGGCCTTGGATTTCTGTCCCCGTGTGTCCCCAGGCCTCCAGTGTGAGGGTCCACACACACCACCCCTTCCTCAGAATGTCCTTGCCTTTCTTTTTTTATTTTTTGTTACAGGGCCCATGAGCTTGCTGGAGAGACAGAGACAGAGAGACAGAAAGTGAGAAATCACTCCCCTGGGGGATGGCCACACTGTAGTCCCTTCTCCCTTTTCCTCTTGGGATCTTGGGGACACATGAACACACGCCCGGTGTGAGGATTTTTTTTTTTTTTTTTTGTTCATGATTTATTTTTGAAAAATTTGTTTATTCATTCATTCATTTTAATTTGACCTGAGAGAGACACAGAGACAGAGTGGGAAAGTGAGAAAGCAAGCCGCCGGTCCAGGACTTGAACCATGGTTAGCCTCGTGGGAGTGTCCAGCACCTTAACCACCAGCCACCTTCTCCCCTCTCCTTACCTCCCCATGTGAGTTTTGAGCGCCTGATCCAGGACTCCGCCGGCCATGGTGGACTATGTGGGAGCCTGGCGCGACCACTGCGCCACCTGCTGGTCCCTGCCCCGATGTGGCTCTGTGCTGCCCCTGCACTGGCTTCCCGTCTGGCGGGCTTCTTAGCTCTCCCTGGGTGGGAACCCACCGTCGTCACTGCAGGGCTTCCCTTGGGCGAGCTCGGGTGTGCCAGTGTGGACGTGAGTGGGAGCCGGGCGCTGGGTGACAGGTGTGGGTGGCTGCAGTGGGCTGGGAGACACTGAGGGCTTTCAGGAGGCTCCTTAGACCTGTGCGGCTGCAGGAAGGCCCCGCCCTGGGATCAAGTCCTCCCTCCGGCTCCAGCGGTGTGGGCAGTAAGCTCTGTCTGAAGCCCTGCAATAGGTGCGGTGTTCCCAGCGGGTGGTTCTCTGGGCTTAGGGGAAGCTCTGTTGGTGCACACAGCCTGCAAGGCCGAGAAGCTCCCCGCCTGTTCCCTCATCTCCTTCAGGCGTCACTGTGTTCGGGGAGCTAACGAGGCCCTTCTCGCAGCGCTCAGGGCTCTGCTCCGTGGGCTCCGCCTGCTTCCCCTGTGCATTTCCTGCTCACTGGGCTCCGCCTCGTCTTTCACCGAAGGCTCCAGGGCGGCGGGGTGTCTTGTTCACTGGTGTTTCCATTCCCTGGCAGCATGGATGTGTGTGGGGACTGTGACAGCTGCTGTGAGAAGGTCTCTCCAGCAGGGACCAGCTAACTGCAGGCGGGCCGAGTGGGACGGCCGACACGTTCTGCAGCCACGTTCCTTCTCCGACGCT